GAGAAGGGGGTGCCTCCTGTTATACCTTAGGGACTGCCATCTCTTGACACTGTTCAGTCATGTTGCTTAGCAAAATTACATTTGGGGGCAGCCAGAAAAGGAGGAGGAGGCCCAGATGTCTGGGTTCCAGAGAAACAGAGGCTTTCAGGGAAGTCCCCCATTCCACCTTTCTTACCCACCGGTGACCCCTCCCCTATAATCCAGCCCCACTACCTCCTCTCAACCTCACTGAGCCTCAGTCCCCTCATCTGTGAAATGGAGCCAGTAACATCCAGGATGAAACAGGTGAGGTGCATGCAACAGCTACCTGCTGTCTGCAGACAGGGTGTCTCTGGAAGCCTCAGCTTCCTCCCACTCTCCCTATGGCAGCTCCCTCCAGCCCCTCAGAGCCAATGTTCCTTCCCTGGGTGAATGATTGCTGTGTCATTTGCAGGTGTGAAAGAAACTGCACATCCACAGCTTCCTCATGTTTTACTTGGTGGAAAAAGGTCTTCACAGGCTCTTCATTCCATGAGAGAATTTTGCTCCCAAATAGCCTTTCTGCTCTGAAGTAAGGGTACAAAATATTTGTCAGCAGTTCCTAGTCCCTACTTTGCCACATGCTAAAGGCACGCCCCCCAACCACCCCCAACCATCCTGGCTGCATTCCCCATTGTCCGCACCCATTGGTTGCTGGTCCTGCAGATACTGGTCCTAAGCCCAGCCCCCTCCTTCCTCCTCACCCAGCTCAGGGGCAGTTTAGAGCAGTAAAGGGCAAATTATTCTGTAACAGGTCCTGGGGCAGGACCCAGGCCAGGAGAGCGAAATGTGCAAACACTGCCAGCTTCAGCTCCTCCTGATCCAACTGCTCTCCCTTCCAGCTGCTCTGGGCCTGTGCTGCCTCCTGGGATGGGGGAGCCATGGAGTAGCTCTCGGTGCTCCATGGAACACACACAAATGAGCCCTGGGCTGGGAGTCAATGCCTGGGCTCCCGTCCTATTTCCACCACCAAAGTGCTGGGTGACAGTGAACCAGTTATCACCCATCTCTGTTTTGTCCTCTGTTTCCTCCTCTGGACAGTGGCTCACGCCTATAATCCCAGCATTTTGGGAGGCCAAGGCAGGCAGATTACCTGAGGTCAGGAGTTCCAGAACAGCCTGGCCAACATGGTGAAACCCCGTCTCTACTAAAAATACAAAAAAAAATAGCCAGGCATGGTGGCGGCTGCCTGTAATCCCAGCTACTTGGGAGGCTGAGGCAGGAGAATCACTTGAACCCGGGAGGAAGAGGTTGCAGTGAGCCAAGACCACAATATTGCACTCCAGCCTGGGCAACAAAAATGAAACTCCGTCTCAAAAAAAAAAAGAAAAAAAAAAGAATGGGGGACAGGCAGGGGCTAGAGGATGGGTCGTGAGAACCACTGGTGAGGTCCCTGCCCATCCAAGGTGGTTCCCAGAACATCCTCTCCACCCCAGCACAGCCTGAGTGTCAGATGGCCTCACCCTCCTTATCCCCTGACCTTGCAGGCTGCAAGGCCCATGCAGCTCAGCAATATTCATGTATTAACTCACTGGTGGGGCCCCAGCCCCACCCCATCCCACACTCTCTGATCACCTGCTCTTCCTGTCAGAACCCCACCCACCGGCCTCCTGAGAGGAGCCCAGGACAGGCTGTCTGGCTGGCCTCCGACCACTCAGGCTGCCGCAGCCCATGTGTACCTTCCGTCCTTCCCCACAGAGCCGCGCGTGGGCAGGGAGGGATAAGGGCTGCAGAGGAAGAAGACTTTTGACATTGGCAAAGCTTCATGCTGCCAGTGACAGCAGCAACAAAATCACAAAACTCGCAAGCTCCCAGAAATCCAGGCGTCTACTTCAAACTGGGAAACTGCGTTCATCCCCCACCGACCCTGGAGGGAGTCGCCAGCCAGAGCCAACAGGGGATGGGAGAGAGAAAGACAAGGGGAAGCACATGGGCAGGAGAAAGGCAGTGCCTGGGGTCTGGGGTCTGGAGAAAGTTCTGGGACCTACCCTGACTAGGAGGGGCCTAGCCCCCTGGTCCTTGCATCCTATCCTCCAGCCCCTGCCCCCCATCCTTGATGGGGCCCACATCCCAGGAGGCAACAGCAGCAGGGGAGGTGAATGACGCCTCACTCCACGGCTCAGGGAGACCGCTGTCCCAGGTATCCCTCCCCACAGCAACGCAGGCTGCTGCAGCCCGTGTTTGTTGTTGTTGTTGTTTGACGGAGTCTTGCTCTGTCGCCCAGGCTGGAGTACAGTGGTGTGAGCTCGGCTCACTGCAAGCTCCACCTCCTGGGTTCAAGTGATTCTCCTGCCTCAGTCTCCTGTGTAGCTGGGATTACAAGCGCGCCCCATCACTCCTGGCTAATTTTTGTATTTTTAGTAGAGACGGGGTTTCGCCATGTTGGCCAGGCTAGTCTTGAACTCCTGACCTCAGGTGATCCGCCTGCTTCAGTCTCCCAAAGTTCTGGGATTACAGGCATGAGCCACCATGCCCAGCCCTGTTTCCATCGTCTTCAGAGGCCAAATGCTGGGATGCTGTGAGTTGAGGAAGACTCTGGTGGGTGGGCCTGGGAACCCAGGCACCTTTTAAAAAAGTCACATTAGTCTCAACCAGTGACTCAGAAGCTTCTGGAACACAGCCCACTGTAAGCTGGGGCCTTCTCCTTCGATCTCAGGCTCCCAATCGGACCTTGAGAGCCCTCTGCCCCTCCTGCTCTGCTCCCAAAGCTGCCTCCCAGGCACTGCTTCCATGCCAAGGTCGGGCTCCTCTGGGATGCTAATATTTTTACTCTTGATTTCTATCTTTTTTTTTTTTTCTGTTTTCTAAGTTTTAGGGTTTTATGTCTTAGCACTACCCAAAGGAAAACCATCATGAGTTTAGAAGTGATCTCCAAGCAGCCACATGGTGGGGCACCCAGGCCCCGGCCCAGCCCTGTGGCCACGTCTTTGCAGTCCTTTTCCCTGGAAGCTCCAGGAGCCTCAAAATAAGCTCCTTGTCCACCTAAGGAGATGGAGCTAGAGAGACCAGTCATCCCCAGACCTCAGACCTTAAGCTTAAAAAGAACCTGGGATGCCCTGGCACAGTGGCTCACGTCTGTAATCCCAGCACTTTGGGAGGCTGAGGCGGGTGGATCATGAGGTCAAGAGATCGAGACTATCCTGGCCAACATGGTGAAACCACATCTCTACTAAAAATACAAAAATTAGCCAGGCGTGGAGGCGCATGCCTGTAATCTCAGCTACTCGGGAGGCTGAGGCAGAATACCTTGAACCCGGGAGGCAGAGGTTGCAGTGAGCTGAGATTGCGCCATTGCACTCCAGCCTGGCGACAGAGCGAGACTGTGTCTCAAAAAAAAAAAAAAAAAGAACCTGGAACTGGCTAATGCATGGCCCGAAGAGACAAGACTGGTGTTTCCACCTAGTTGATGACCAGAAACTCATAGCCCCCTCTACAGAGATTTGGGGTGGGGACGGCAGGGCAGCACACAGCCACTGTCCCCAGGAGGTGGGATGGGAAGCAAAGCTCCTGCTCTCAGGCAGCTCTCGGTGCTCCATGGAACACACACAAATGAGCCCTGGGCTGGGAGTCAATGCCTGGGCTCCCGTCCTGTTTCTGCCACCAAAGTGCTGGGTGACAGTGAACCAGTTATCACCTATCTCTGTTTCCTCCTCTGTAAAATGGCGAGTCCGGACTAGATGCCCTGCCAGGCCCCTGCCTATGTTAACATCCTCTGCCCATTTCTAGATCAAATCAGCAGGCTGAGGCACGACTGGAGAAATTAGCAGAGGAGTGGAAGATTCTGTCCGTTCACCGTGGGCCTGCCCACAGCACCTGGTGTCAGGGCCCAGGCACTGACCTCCATGGCTGCTAGAGACTCACATCAGTCAGCAAGGATTCTGGACACGCCCTGCCTCTCCTGATACCCAGAAGGTCACCGCTTCAGAGCTGACTCTACCCCAGCCCCGCTAACCACAGAACAGAGCTGGCGTGGGAGTTAAGACGTCTCTACCAGACAGAGCACTGCAGGGGCAGGAAGTGGGGGAGCCTCTCTTGACCATCATTGGCACAAGGCTGGCAGGCTGGGCATCAAACCAGATGCAGATATCTCCGCCTCTGGTCACCGGCTTGCTGGCTCCCCAGGGACACACACTGCCTACTGTCCCTCAGGTCCCCCGGCCTCTGCAAGCCCTGAGGGCCCAGCACTTGGTGGGAACACAACACTATAATAGTTAAGCTGAGGCTGAAATTCCACCCCAATACTATAAATAATAGTTAAACTGAGGCCGAAATTCCACCCCTTCCAGTAGAACACACGCTCCAGGACCAGCAGATCCTACGTCACAGTGGCCGGCATGACTGCCCCTATTTGCATGCCCACACCACACCTTCAGTGGGGAGACTGACATTCTCTACTTCATAGAACTCCCCAGGCAGCCCGAGCTGCCTGGAGGCAGGAAATAGGACAACTGCGTCTTCCGTCTGTGCAGCCCTTCACGTATCCTAACGTGCTTTCCCCCAAATCTCCTGCGAGCCTGACAACAAAAGTGTCATGCAGGCAGGGCAGATGTTATCCCCGTTTGACAAAGGGGCACTGAGTCCACACAGCTAGTCAGTGTTGGGGGAGAGATGGGAATCGAGGAGCCCTCTTCCCACGGGAAGTCCTCCTCACCAGGGTCACTGACAGGGAATGGCCAGGACAATCCTGCCTCAAGACCAGCCCTGGGTGGACCTTCCTGTCACACGCTTAGGCTGGGCACAGGTGAAGAGCGGCCCTGAGGCCCAGTGCCCTGACATCCTCCTTTCCCTGGGGCCAAGCACAGGCAGACTCCGGGCAATGGTACGGGGGTGCAAAGGCAGGGACTAGGGAGAGAGGTTAGAGCCCTGGAGGCCCCCAGAACACATTTTGACTCAAAGGCAAAGCAAACATCAACTCCAACAAGTGCCACGTTGGTGAGAGCTGCGGGAGAGGACGCCACAGGGGGACAGTGGGCAGGACTCACCTCGCGCAGCAGCTGCATCCCCTTCAGCTCCTCCTGCTGCTGCTGGGCCACAGTGACCCCCAGGACCAAGGTGTGCACCACACAGGAGACCACGGAGATGATCACGATGGGGCTGAGGCTGAGGGGCAGCGTGATGAAGAAGGAGAAGACGAAGAAGACCTGCCAGCCCACGGTGTCACTGGCCGCGTGGGCACGCGCGAAGTTCAGGCCCAGGTAGGAGAAGATCTGGGCAGTTATGAGCAGCCACAGCAGGTAGGGCACCACTCTGCGGGTGGCCCGGTCCGGGAGCAGCCCCTTTTTGCAGAGCACGAAGAGGATGATGTCCAACAGCAGTCCAATTCCAGCCACGGCAAGGGGAGCCAGCTTGTCGCTGGAGAAGACCACAGCACACATGACCACCACGTAGCAGTCAAAGAGGGCAGCAAAGACCACCAGCACCAGCAGGGTCTCGTGGCGCTGCCTTTTGAAGTAGGTCTGGTAGAGGTTCTCCAAGGACTCCGGCACGAAGGTCAGCCGCATGAAGCGAGGCAGGCACAGGCAGGAGCCCGAGTTCCGGACCGAGATTTCATGGGTCCGGCCCACCCCGCGGTCAGGGTCGGAGGGCAGGCTGACGGAGTACTCGGCTGAGTACTCGGCCGAGTACTCGGGCTCAGAGAAGCCCTGGTTCCTCGGCATCCTGGCTGGTGTCTGCTACTGGCCCTAGAGAAGTGGACCGGGATCAGAGGAAGAGCTCTGGACTGGGCTACCTCTCAGGGCTCGCTGAGACCTGGGGAGGGCCTCTTCTTGGCTGGGGCGGAGGGGCGGCCACCTCCAGCAGGAACGCAGAGCGGGTTTCCAGGGCACAGGGAGCACTGATCAGCTAGAACTGAAAAGGGCATTGCTGAGTAGAAGCACCTCTTCCCTCCTACCTTGTGGTTTCCCCATGACCCGCCCTAACCCTCATAAAAGGATCTCTGCTGCAAGAGCCTCCCAATCCAGGGCCTTCCCTGCCACCCCCGCTCACACCACCGCCCACCGCACGCACACTTAGTCCTGTCCACGCCAGACACTCGATTTCCTGTCCCTGGCTTGTGGAAGGGCCTAGCCGCCTCTCCATCCCTGGCACCCGGTTTCTCTCTGTCATCTCTTCTTTCTCAGTCCCTGACTTCCTCACCTAAATTCCCTCCAGGCCCAGTCCTTAGAAGCTGGAAATAAAATGTGCCGGAAAGAAACTAGGACCATCCTGGGGATTCCTGAGCCTTCCTTCTGTTTACTTCCTTTTTCCACCAAGCCCTTGGAGACTCGGGCTCCGATCCGGCCCCCTTCCCACGCTCAGGGCGCTGTCTTCCCCCCGGAAGCCTGGCCCTGCCCCTGCGTTTACCTGTGCGGGAACTCGGCCACCGCGTGCTCCGGGACGGTCCCCGCGAGG